TTTTTATTTTATTACCGTGTTTCCCCGAAAATAAGACATCCTCCGAAAATAAGACCTAGCGCATGGAAAGATAAGACATCCCCTGAAAATAAGACCTAGCACAACTTTGGGAGAAAAAATTAATATAAGACACTGTCGGAGAAACAGGATATTACTATTGCGATTTTTTAATCCACGATCAAATCTTGACAAGGGCCATAATAGTCGTTCCTTCATCTAAAAGACAGTTAGACTTGATAAATTCTCACCAGGGTGTTGCATAGGCTTAGCCTAGTCCATTCCCAGGAGGTCAGAGCCGGTTCAGAACCCAAACTACAATGGCTTGTAAAGCACTTTCTTTCATGTAACAAGGAGTCCAAAGCGGGAAATCAGATCCCTACCCTGGCAGGTGTAGATCAATTGGTTGAACATTGTCCAGGGCTCCAAAAGGTCACCGGTTTGATTCCCGGTCAGGGCACATGTCCAGGATATGTGTTTGGTTCCCAGTTCGGCACACATAGGGGAGGCAACCAACCGATGCTTCTCTCCAATGGATCTCTCTCTCTCTCTCTCTCTCTCTCTCTCTCTCTCTCTCTCTCTCTCTCTCTCTCTCTCTCTCTCTCCTATCCTTTCCCCCCTCCCTCTCTCATAGACAAAAACACATTTTTAAAAAAAGAAATCAGATTCCTATTCTCTGCCACTGCCACCACCTGTAGTGAGTGGCTTTCTTCTCCATGGTCACAAAAACGTTTATCACATCACCGAGAGGCACCTCCACATTCCAGGCAGGCTGGACAAAGGACAAGAGATGCGTATCTGTTGGGTTTGTTATAATGACATACCCACCGCATTTCTGGATATGTCTTATTGATCCGAACTGTCAAAACCCCAGCTACCTAGATGCCTGGAAAGCAGAGTTCCTTAACTGAGCACACGGCTGCCCTGAACAAAATGGGGGATGTGTGTAGGAGAGGCAAAGGGACGAGTGCATATTGGACAGGGAACCAGCATGGTCTGCCCCCAGACATACTAAGCAGGAGACAGTTTTCAGTCTTTTTATCTGGTGCTCTGCCATTCATCATATATTCCTTGTTTTTTTTACTTTGGTTACTTTGCAATATTTCTGTTAGAGAACAGAGGAAACCATAGCTCTCTGTGCCCGAAATGGGAAAGGACATGTTGCAATTGGATGTCACCACTTGGACTTTCAGATAAGAAAGAAGGAAGTAGTTTGTCCTGTATCCACGGGCCTGGATGTGGCAAATCTCTCTTTGCCTACCCCGCTTAAAGAAGGTGGAGGCTGGGTGTCATGGTTTCTTCACGGTTGATGTTTGATTTTGTACCACAGGGCCAGAGAGTTGAGTTCATCAGAGTTAAAGTTTATGGTGTACTCTCACCACGTTCTACCAAATTCCCATATTCTCTCTCCTCTCCCTCCCTCCCTCCCTCCCTCTCTCTCTCTCTCTCTCTCTCTCTCTCTCTCTCTCTCTCTGAAAAATAGATTTCCCCCTTCCCTACTCTTTTCCTCCTCATACTGTTGGCAACGACTGTGGCGTGTTTGATGTGTAGTTTGTTTCTTTGTAAATGTTCTTGCATAGCGTGTATTGTGGACATATGCTGAGGGAAGAAAGGCATCAGAGATGTGCCCTGACAGAGAAAAGGACATGTGAAGACACAGAAAGAGGGTGGCCATCAGCCAGCCGGGAAGCAAGGGCTTAGTGGAAACCAGACCTGCCAACACTGTGACTTTGGACTTCCAGCCTCCATACCAGGAGGAAATAAATTGTTTAAGCCACTGAACCTCTGATGCCTTGCTTTTGCAGCCCCAGAAATCCAATGTACCGTACACTCTTTCAGAGACACCCAGGTTTCTTTCAACAATTTTGTTGAAAGTTTTGGAAGACAATAGATCTTTCCTGCTAAACCAACAATACTGTATAGCTAGCATTTGATTGTAACTTAACCTTATCTTAAATATAATAGAAAACTGACAAGTCTTTTTTTTTTTTTTTTGAGTTCTGAATCTTTCATGTAGTACCTTGTTCATTCAAAGCCTGACAAAGAGGAAAAAAAAAAAAAAAGTAATCCTATTTCCAGTGGTATGTGATTAGTTTGGGTCAGTGGTCGGCAAACTCATTAGTCAACAGAGCCAAATATCAACAGTACAGTGATTGAAACTTCTTTTGAGAGACAAATTTTTTAAACTTAAACTTCTAACGCTGCTTCTTCAAAATAGACTCAGCCAGGCAGTGGTATTTTGTGGAAGAGCCACACTCAAGGAACCAAAGAGCCACATGTGGCTCCCGAGCCACAGTTTGCGGATGACTGGTTTAGGTAACCAAGACCTAAGCTTTCCAGTAGTCGTTAATTGGCAAGAGATTGATTAGAAACAATCCGATCCATGAGAGGTTGGGAACTTTTGTTGGTACGTTGGGGACATGGATATTTTTCTCTCTTAGGTTAGTAGTGTGGCTGCAGCCATTCAGTCTCCATGAGGCCGGCCAGCCTTAAGATGACGCCGATGCCGGGAAAGCAGTGAATCCGGATGGAAGATGCCAGGTCATGATCCAGACCAGCCCTGAAGCGCATCTTACCTCTGGACTTTCCAGTCGCATAAGCCAATAAATCTGCCTCATTTTTTTAACCCAGGGTGAGTGTTGTGTAACTTGCAAGAAAAAAAAAAATCTCCTAAATGATACAGGTAGGTGCAAGGGTACAAATGTGAATGTCAGATCTAAGCTCTTAGTCTCAGCAGCCCTGCCATGGTGCGGCTTGCCTGGCACTGGCTTGGGGTCAGTGGGGAGGTCAAACAATTGTACTAGGAGCTAGCGTTCATTGAGGCTCACCTCTGGCCTGTACTAGACCAAGCATTTTCTATTTATTAACACATTTTATTCATTAAAAAAATATATTTAATGTTCACTATCCAAAAATAGAAAAATCAGAGGCTTCACTTAGTGCACCCTCCCCCCTCTCCCTCCACTTCACCTCACCCCCCTTAGAACTCATCCGGAGTCTCAGAGCGGTCCTGCCCAGGGCTGGATGGGGCGGCGCCCTCAGTGGCAGGATTGCTCACTGTCACCTGAAAGCGCCTAAAAAGGACACGCAGAGGAGGTGACCCTTGACTTGGCTCATCCAAGGTAAGTAAGTGTTCACCAGGCCAGCTGGGACTGGTGGGCAGGGCGCCTGCACGCGGGCACCCACGGGGGTGGGGTGGGGGTGGAAGCGGGGATGCTACACAAGCCGCAGGGGTGAGGAGGAGCCTGGGGCCAGGCCAGCACTGGTCCACTCTTCCCACTTTCCGCTGCATCATCCTGACACACACATACACACACACACACACACACACACACACACACACACACACACACACACGGCCCCGCCCCGGGGAAGCCCCGCCCTCTTTGGAATGCTACAAAAACCGAGGCGGGAGCGCTCTGCTGCGTAGTTGCAACTGCTCCCTCCAGTTTTCCGGTAGAGGAACGTGCGGAGTCTAGTAAGTAAAGACCCCACCCCGGCCACGCTTTTCCTCCTGCTGAGTTTCAGACCCCCTGGCCGGAGCGTTTGCTCGTGGCTCTCCGCCTCCTTTTGCTGCATAACCTCCGGCCTCGCGCTCGGAGGAAGCGATGCCACAAGTTCGGACGCCCCTGCGCCCCGCAGGTTCCGGGGGCGGGCGGTCGGGAAGGGGTGCCGGAGGGCAGCGCGCGGGCTGGAGAGGATTCCGGGGCTCCAAACTGGGCCGCGGGTGGAAGGAGAGGCCAGGCGGGGTCGGCGTTCCATTCCTGGGCACGGGTACGAGCGGGCGAGGAGGGGGGAGCCCGGGGCGGCGTGCCAGGCACTCGCCCGGCCCGCTTGCTCGGGTCGGTGGGATGCTCGCTGAACTGCTCCGCCCTCTGCGGCCAGGCCCTTTCCCAGGCGGTGAATTCACAGTTCTCAGCCGCTGCAGGCCGGGGTGGGGTGGGGAGGGGGCTGAGGGTGGAACGGGTCCCGCCGCTCCTCTCGCAGTGTTTCTCCTCCAGGCCAGGTGTCCCCTCCCGGCCACAGGTGTCCCCTCCCGGCGAGTGCTGGGGCCGCGGGAAATCGCCTGCGCCTGCGGGCGCTTAGTGCTGATTCACAGAAGGGAAGGCGCGTTCCCACCCGGTGCAGCGCAATTCAGAGCAGTGGGGACGATCTCTCGGTTTTGGGTGGGAGCAAAGTTAAACCCCAGCAAATCCTTGATTTCCTGTTTGATTTGCCCAAGAAAACTCCCGCCTGCACATGGGGCGGAGCGGCAGCGCCACCCGGTGCTGCTGTTCAAGGGTTCCTGAGACAGTCTTAGAGTGCATTGCATTGCTCCATCTCTGAGATTTTCAACTGGTGTGCTGCAGGAATTTTTCAAAAAATGCAGTACCTGACTATTTAGTAAGGGGCATTGGCCTCTTTTCCATGTCAAATTTAAAAAAATGACAACAGCCAGGCCAGTGTGGCCCAGTGGTTGAGCTTGTACTTATGAACCAGGAGGTCACGGTTGGGTTCCAGGTCAAAGAGCATGCCGTGTGTGTGTGTGTGTGTGTGTGTGTGTGTGTGTGTGTGTGTGTGTATGTGTGTGTGTGTGTGTGTGTGTGCAGGAATCAGCCGATTGATGATTCTCTCTCATCATTGATATTTCTATCTCTCTCTCCCTCTCCCTTGCTTTCTGAAATAATTTGTTTAAAAAAAGGACAACCGCCACCCACTGTGAATGAATCAAAATTATACCTATTTTTTGCCGGAACCGGTTTGGCTCAATGGATAGAGCGTCGGCTTGGGGACTGAAGGGACCCGTGTTCGATTCCGGTCAAGGGCATGTACCTTGGTTGCGGGCATATCCCCAGTAGGGGGTGTGCAAGAGGCAGCTGATCGATGACTCTCTCTCATTGATGTTTCTAACTCTCTCTCTCCCTTTCTCTCTGTAAAAAAATCAATAAAATATATTTTTTAAAAAATTATACCTATTTTTTGTCAGATCAGCAAAAAATACTTTTTTTTGTGTGTGTGTGCCACCGAATTTGAGCAATTAGTTTGTGTGCCAGGAGTTGAAAAAGGTTGGAAATCGCTGCTCTAATCATTTAAAAGATGTGCATGGACTTGTAGTCCGTTCTTTGTGTTTGACAGTATTTCTTAGGATTCATTTCATGTGGGGCAGAAACAGAATATTTGCATACCAGGTAGGCGTTCAGTAGTCTCATGATGGTTGGGAAGAATTTCTAGGCTGGTTTACATGCCTTGAAGGTTTTCTCGGAAGCCTCAGTTTGCTTTTCTGTGCGCTGTATGCTGTTAATAATAACAATGTCATTCTGTAGGGGAATTTATCTTCTGTTTATGAAGATGAAATGACAGGATGAATAGGAAGTGCTTAGCACAGCAACAAAAACATACAGAATACTAAACAAGTGTGATTGATGCTAAATGGCAATGAGGAGGAGTCAGTGATGGGCAGACCCTGCTGTCTGGCCTCAGTGCAATGGCTAGCAAGCTCTAATAACCCAGTCCCTTTGTGACATTTGACTATTGTGTTCTAGGAGTTTCAGGATGGTTCATGCTAAGAGCTGGACCCTGAAGAAGCACTTTGAAGGCAGCCCTACAAACAGTAACTTTGAGCTGAAGACAGTTGAACTCCCACCCCTAAAAAATGGAGGTAAGTCATATCATATGGTGTGAATGGAAAGAGACGGTATCAATCAAACTTTGCTGCATAACAAACTACCCCAAGACTTAGTAACTTCAAACAACAGCCATTTATTAGCACATAATTCTGTGGCCTCAGTTCTCCCCCGGGTGGCCTTCCTAGCAAGCTAGTTTGAGCTCTTGATTTCCACGGTGGACTCCTGAATCTAGAGTAACAAATCGGCAGTCTGTAAGTACTTTTCAAACCTCTACTTGTGTCATGTTTGCTAATAAATGTGTCAAAGCAAGTTATAGCCAAGCCCAGGTCAAGAAAAGGGAATAGACCTTTTTTTTTTTTTTTTTTTTTTAATATGTCTTTATTGATTTCAGAGAGGATGGGAGAGGGAGAAAGAGATAGCAACATCAACGATGAGAGAGAATCATTGATTGGCTGCCTCCTGCATGCCCCCTACTGGCAATCGAGCCCACAACCCCGGCATGTGCCCTTGATCAGAATCGAACCCGGGACCCTTCAGTCCACAGGCTGATACTCTATCCACTGAGCCAAACCAGCTAGGGCAGGAATAGACTTCTTGATGGAGGATTGGCCAGGAGACCCTCCCACAGAGATGGGAGGTATTTGTAGTCATTCTCAATCTGCCACAGAGACTTTTTCAAAGTCCTCTGTGTGAAGCCTCGCTGTCATGTTGGATCTCTCTTTTTTCTTGGTAATTGACACTTGAGCTTGGGTGCATTATTCTTCATGACTTTTTAAATATATATGTATATATTTATTTTATTGATTTTTTTTCACAGAGAGGAAGGAAGAGGGATAGAGAGTTAGAAACATCAATCAGCTGCTTTCTGCACACCTCCCACTGGGGATGGCTCTATCCACTGAGCCAAACCAGTTAGGGCTATTCTTCATGACTTTGATCGATGGGAGGATTTTCTCTCTGGCCTGGTGAACCCTATGATGACAGTGGGGGAGAGACAGTTTGTATGCAGAGCTCAGACTATCCCTGTGAAGAGACAAGGAGGTGAAAACCTAAAAACCCTCATCCTTCATTGAGGAGCCTCCTGTCCACTTGAGGGAACTAAATGGTCAAGTCAAACCTAAGGAAATCTAAGGGAAATTTAACATGTTTGAAACAATTACTTTGTAGAGCAGACTCTAAAGTAGGGGTGTCGAACTCAATCAGAGAAGGGGCCAAAATCTAAAATCCAGCCTAAATCGCGGGCCGAATGGTTTACTGAACAGTCATAAACTGTCATTGTGATGGAAACGCAGCGGAGTGCAGTGATGACAACACGGTGCGGGCCACATTGCAAGGCCTGGCGGGACGGATTTGGCCCGCAGGCCTTGTGTTTGACACATGTGCTCTAAAGAGTGTCTATAAGAGGTGTTTACAGGTAGGTAAGCTTTGTGAAAAGAGCATGTAATCAAGTAGCATGGATAACCCCATTTACATTGGGATAGCCAGGACTCAGCTTCAAAATTCCATAGAATGTCTACGATATGGTTCAGGCTAACAACATGAATGTTCTTTAATCCTAACTGGTAATCCTAACTGTAATGAAACCCTAAGTGAGCACTGCAACAGTGGTTACAAATGTGGCCTGGGGGCAAGTTATGGGAACCTAAACATAAATAAAGTGGAAACAGTCATTGTTGAGAATATCCTATGAAGTAACCCATGAAAAGCATGGAGTGCTATGCAAATGTGATGATGATGACCTATTATACAACACCAGGGCAGCCCAGAAGCTGAAAGACGACCTGTGTTTATTTAGAATGTCAACGAAGGCGTCCGGCCTTCAGTTCTAATTGCCTGTGGGATGCTTTCTTTTGTAGAGGTCCTGCTGGAAGCTCTGTTCCTCACTGTGGATCCTTACATGAGGTATTACTTCCTCCCTAAGAATTCTTACACTGTGCGTTAGACTCTTTGTTGGAGCAGTTCATCTTTTAAAACATCCCACTGTCTCAGAACCGTCATTTTCCTCCCAGGACAGTAAGAGGGATGGGATTTGTGGGTGCTCCTCTTTTGCAGGCTTGGTGAGGAATTACCTTGGCCTCTTGATTTGACAATTATTTCCTATCTTATGTCCAGAGTTTGCCTCTCATTGCTCACCAGAGTTGCTTGCAGAAAAAAATTTAAAGAAAAAAGAAACCAGTCTCCAATTTGTCCATTTCAGTACTGGCAAATAATTTGAGTAGAGGAAGATGCTACGACTAAAATTGGATTTTCTTGCCCTTTATTTCCCAATATTCCTATAATTTGGATGATCTGCGGCTGACTCAAACTGAGTACTCAGTAAATTCTCTGGGAGGGAAGAGAATAAAAGCCTTCATAGGTCACACACACCTCAGTAATTTTTTTAAAGTTTCATTTATTTATTTGTTTAAAAATATATTTTATTGATTTTTTACAGAGAGGAAGGCAGAGTGATAGAAAGTTAAAAATATCAATCAGCTGCCTCCTGTATACCCCCTACTGGGGATGTGCCCGCAACCAAGATATATGCCCTTGACTGGAATCGAACCTGGGACCCTTCAGTCCACAGATGGACGCTCTATCCACTGAGCCAAACTGGTTAGGGCTCCGCAGTAATTTTTTGCCTAGGTAATCCATATAGTCATCTTTCCTTTAAGTAATTTTTCCCCCTAGCTGATTGATAGAGATACAAAGCTAAGACATCAGCTGAGTGCTTGCAATTCAACTTGATTCTGACACTATCTTAGATCCCACAGATTAGAGGTTCAGTCCCACAAGTCTGGCCATCCCCCTTTAGGTACCAATTGCAAGTCCAGGTGTCTGTGCACACTTCCCCAATGGTTTTCCATTTGTCTTAAACTCAAGACAACTTTTCCCAGATGCTCTTATGTATAATATTAAGCATGAATTATTTTTTTTCCAGATTGGCAGCCAACAAATTGAAGGAGGGTGATACGCTGATGGGGGAGCAAGTGGCCAGGTAAATATTTCCATTTATCCCAGTGTTTGGAAAATATGTCTCCCCTGTACCTTCTGCGGGGGCCCATCTCTGTCTATTGCTCTCATAATTTCTTCAGCTTGTGTAGTTCACTCATTGTTTGATCTTCAAAGCAATGTGGGAATTCTGTTCTTTTCCTGACTAATGGGAAGGGAAGAAAGGCTGTAAAATTGTCATCATTTCAACTTCACTTTGCTATACTTACTTTTAATTACTAAAGAAAAAAAAATTTTATTTGTCCAGTTCATAATTATTTTGTAGAAATTCAAATAAAACAAAAAAGTTGTATCTTGGAAACTGACAGTTCCCCATCAACCTTAGAGAGGACTGTTGTAAATGTTATTTCAAAAAAATTTCAGTACAAATACTAATATCTATAATTTTTAAAAATGGGATTAAATGCCCTTCAGCAAATTGCCTTTCTCAATATGTTATGGATGTCCTTTGCTTGTAGTATATAAGTATTCTACCTATCTTTTTTTTAAAATATATTTTTATTGATTTCAGAGAGGAAGGAAAAGGGAAAGAGAGAGAGAGAGAAACATCAATGATGAGAATCACTGATTGGCTGCCTCCCGCACGCCCCCTACTGGGGATCAAGCCTGTAACCCTTGACGGGAATCAAACCCATGACTGTTCAGTCTGCAGGCCACCACTCTGCACAAGGCCAAGCTGACTAGGGCTAAGAACCGCTAGCAGGGTGGCCTAAGACCATCGGAAAACGCAGATATTTACATTACCATTCATCACAGTAGCAAAATTACAGTTATGAAGTAGCCACGAAAATAATTTTATGGTTGGGGGTCACCATACCATGAGGAACTGTATTAAAGGGTCGTGACATTAGAAAGGTTGAGAACCACTGCCTCAGTGGCATATAGTGGGGGTGGTGCATTGGGTTATCAAGTGAATGGGAAGCAAAGAAGTGAGAGGAACGAGGGAGGGAGGAAATGGATGGTAAAATAGAGGTGAGCATTCTTTTACGCTGAGGGCAAGGGAGGGACAGTAGGGAGGAAAATGTTACAGATTCAGGAGAGAAAAAGGATTCAGAAATGGAGGGTGACCCCTGAAGAACACAGCAGGTGGTGTCCAGGGCGCCGGGAGACAGAAGATGGACACCTTTTGCTTAGACAGAAGAGAAGTGGGATAGCACAGGGACCGATGCTGGGCCCATTGAGAGCGTCCCTGTCTGATGGCCCCTATATTTGGTAGAAGAAGGAGAGACCAATGGCTAAGAATTAAGCTGGAGAGATGTGGGCGGGTTATTCCTTCTTGGAAAACCAACCTCAGTGTTCTTTGTATACAACGAGCCACACAGCATCCCCATTCTCTTTGAAGGCGAGAGGTTTCACAGGTCCTGACGTGCTTTGTCTTTCAGAGTTGTGGAAAGTAAAAACTCAGCCTTTCCAACAGGAACTGTAGTACTGGCTCCTTCCGGCTGGACATCGCACTCCATTTCTGACGGAAAAGATCTAACGAAGCAGCCTGCAGCATGGCCAAGCACATTACCTCTGTCTTTGATGCTGGGCACACTCGGCATGCCAGGGTGAGCTTTGAGTCTGGATGCCATTTGTTTGAGTGCCTGACACGCCGTATTTCCAAAATGGTTTGTCCAGAACGTGGTCAATGAGAAGAGATAACACATTCTAGGTTCAGGGCTGATTAGAGAAGATGGTGGGGTGAAGAAGGAAAGAAGAGTGGCCTAGGCTCGAGTTTGCCTTAAAACTAAAGGAAAGAAGGCGGGGGAGGGGGGTGCGGGGGGAAGTCAGGTCAGTGACACTCAGGTACAAAGAGGAAGCGAGGCTGAGAAGCAATGTGGGCTCGATCCCTCTCAATCAGCTGGCAAACGGCAACGCAAAGACACCAGCTTCTCCTGTCCCTGGGAAGGTCCTGGCTTCACACATCACTCAGCTCTGCCTCCATTTCAAAATTCTAAAAGGGAGGGAGTTCAGTCTGCCTTGGTTTTCTGCATCGGTATCCTTCTCCATCTTTCCCTGAGGAGTAAGAGAAGCTGGATGTTAAATAACGAAGAGGAATCACAGATTATTCTACTAGTTGCAGCTCTTTGGCCCGTTGAGTGCGGCTCTCCCACAAAATACCACGTGCGGACACGCACATACAGTGCTATTGAAACTTCATGGGCCATGCGCAGAAGTTGGTTTTCGGCCTGGGCGAGTCAATTTTGAAGAAGTGGCGTTATAACACTCAAGGGACCAAAGAGCCGCATGTGGCTCGCGAGGTGTGGTTTGCCGACCATTAACCTCGACCCATGGCAGTCTAAGAAGGTCTTTGGTATGTATCTGAATGAGTTACGTATATGGGAAAGCAGCAAATTCATCCACATGTCTTTAATTTTCTCTCCTCAGCCTAACAGCCTACTTTGGCCTGCTCGACATCTGTGGTGCAAAAAGTGGAGACACCGTCTTGGTTAATGCGGCAGCAGGAGCCGTGGGCTCTGTCGTGGGGCAGATAGCTAAGATCAAGGTAAGTGTCTTCCCCTGGGAGCACATACTCAGCACCCACAGTGTGCACTGGGAATGCAGCAGTGAATGTAGCAGACCTTCCTCAGTTTTAGAGATTAGTCTAGTGGATCTTGAAGATTGGGAATGAATAAGAAATGGGAGAATAAGGAAAAATGAATATTATTACTTTTTAAAAAATATATTTGTATTGATTTCAGAGAGGCAGGGAGAAGGAGAGGGGAGAGGGGGAGAACATCAATGATGAAAGAGACTCACTGATTGGCTGCCCCCTACTGGAGACTGAACCTGAAACCTGGGCATGTGCCCTGACCAGAATCGAACTGAAATCTTCTGGTGCAAGAGAAGATGCTGAGCCACACCAGTCAGGCTTCTGTCATAGTGGTTGCTGAACATTTCTTGTTACAGCTTTACCTTCTCTTCTTATGGTTGTCCCAAACAGTAAAGGAGGGCCATGAGGTGAGCCAAAAAGAAAGCCCTCATGCGAAGGCTGCTGCCGCCAACTCAGAGCGGAGGTAATAGGGCATGGAAACATTGCTCTGACTTAGGCAGGTGTCTGTGTTCAAGAGATCCGATGTGATGGTGAGCCGGAGGCAGCTCAGACATGGCCAGGATATGTCACAGAGAGGAATGTTCCAAGTGATTTGGCTTAGCTGATCCTTTGCCAGAGACTGGGATGCAGAATCAGGAAAGAGTTAAGTAAAATACAGATGAATACAGCACTATCACCAATAGCCAAGGATTCAGGGTGGTCTCCAGTGTTAACGGGAGCTTGGGATACAAATAAGAAATGAAGCTACCTTAGAGGTTAGAGGAAGAATTTATTTTCAAGTAAGTAAAGAAATATGAATAGATATTGAATTTTATCAAGTGTTATTTCAGCATTTATCAGGTTTACTTTGCAGTTAACGAATTACATTAGTTTTCCAGTATTGAGTCATTCTAGCATTCCCGGAATAAGCTTTATTTACCTATGGAAATTATGGATTTGTACCTTTGAATTTATTTTATCGCATTTTAAACAGAATTTTTGCACTATATTTATAGACAAGTTTGGTTTGGAGGGCTTTTTTTTTTGTTCTGAACTTATCAATGTTCAGCCTGGGTTATGCTAGACTTACAAAACAAATTAGTAATATTTCCAATAATCAAATGTTAAATGTTTTCTTTAAACTGTAAGGCATATTTATTTCAAAAGTTTGATAGGACTTATCTCTAAACCTGTTCTTTTAGAAACCTCACTGGGCACTGCCATACTAAAAAGCTTAATCCTTAAAGGAGAGACAGGATTAGTTCTGCATTTTATAGAAATTACATTGCCTTCGTTCATAGTTTCCAGGGACAAAGTGCTAGAGACAGGAAGCCCAATTAGGAGGCCCTTACAAGAATTCAGATGGAAATTGTGATGCATCAAAGGTAGAGATTAGACATCAGAGCCAGCTTTTAGGATATTTGGGGGGGAAAGAATAAAACCTGGTGGTTGGATGTTCATAGAAAAGGTGTGAAACATCTGCACGAAGGAAGCATTGAGGTCATAAGTGTCGAGATCATCCTGTGAGTTTATAAGGCTAGAAGGACAAAAGACAGAGGATGGAGCTTTTGCAAGAGTTTTTTTCTTGAATCATGAAAAGATGGGAAAAGTAGGTGGATAGAAGTCATTGTTGGTACAGATCCATGTATGAACCCAAAGGTCTTTCCCTAACTGACAGTGCATAGTGGCTCATCTTGGTCTTCACGATCCATTCAGAATATAAGAGAGCTTTCTGAGGAGCTACTTTCTACGTGCCAATACAGTATCCAATCTTGCAAATTAAGCAGCATTTAGTCTAATGCTTTGGGTCAAATCAAACAATAAGGGGACAGTTACCAGGAGGGCTATCTATGAAATGAGAGTCCTAGAACTGAGTCAAAATAATAGTTAAAGGATGACTGCACCAAGAGATAGCATGCAAAGGAAGAGAAGTTCCAAAATAAAGAAACAAGAGAGGGCCTGGCCGGTATAGCTCATTGGTTGGGCATCGACCTATGACCAGGAGGTCACAGTTCAATTCCCAGCAGGCCACATGCCCGGGTTTTAGGCTAGCTCTCAGTGGAGGGTCTGCAGGAGGCAGCCGACTGAGGATTCTCTGTGATCATTGATGTTTCTATCTCCCTCTTCTTTCCTCTCTCTGAAATCAATACAAAACATTCATTTTTTTAAAAACCCCACAAGAGAGACAAATGAACATGTTGTCAAGCCAGCAGATTGAAATGAACTGCAAACATCATAAACATAGAAAGGATCTATTGGGCAGTCAGAGGCAAACTGAAGTTATTCTTGGGTTATAGGATGGTTCAGGGACTAGTTTTACTGATAGGGCCTTTTGGCCCATCGTGGTATTCTCATATATGTGGCTCAGCACCTCAGAAGGTATTCTCGGGGAACCTGACCTTACTGGAGTAGGAGGGTGGGGTTGGTCTGTGCTTGTAATTTATAAATGACTTCCTTTCCCCACCCCTCCCTACTTAGGGCTGCAAAGTTGTTGGAGCAGCAGGGTCTGATGATAAGGTTGCCTACCTTAAAAAGCTTGGATATGACGTTGCCTTTAACTACAAGACAGTCAAGTCTTTGGAAGAAACATTGAAAAAAGCTTCCCCTGATGGTTACGATTGTTATTTTGATAATGTAAGTACAAATTAGACTTAAAATCTGATTTACTAACAAAGTATACAAGGAATATACTTCTGGAGTTTCCATCTAAAATCTGTGACTAAAGCACATATGCCTTTTTAAACAAACAAAACAAAACAAAAATAGCTTTATTGTGATATAATTCACCCATTTAAAATGTAGGATGTAATGGTTTTTAGTATATTCACAGAATTGTACAACTGTCACCACAATCAATTTTAGAACATTTTCATCACACTAAAAAAGAAATGCTGTACTTACTAACAGTCACTTTCCACTTTCCCCCAAAAGTTGTCTTCTGTGACTGGCTTCTTATACTTAGCATGTTTTCTAGGTTCATCCATGTTGAAGCATGTATCAGTGATTCATTCCTTCTTGTGGCCAAATAATATTTCATAGTATTGATATATCACATTTTATTTATCCATTCTTCAGTTAATGGACATTTGTTATTTATACTTTTCGGCTGTTATATAATGCCGCTATGACCATTTACGTACAAGTTTTTGTGTGGATATGTTTTAATTTTCTTGGATCTACACCTACAAATGGAATTGCTGGGTCATATGGTAACCTCATGTTTAACATGCCAAACTATTTTGCACAATGGCTGCACTATTTTACATTTTTGCTAGCACCGTATGAGAGTTCCAACATCCTTGCCAATACTTTGAGCCATCATTTTGATTATGGCTATTCTGGTGGGTCTGAAGTGATAATTTCATTATGGTTTTGATTTGCATTTCTTCAATAGCTAACATTGATCATCTTTTCATGTGCTTATTGGCCATTTGTATATCTTCTCTGGAGAAATGTCTGTTCAAATCCTTTGCCCATTTTCAATCGGGCTATTCGTTGAGTTGTAAAGGCTTCTTCATACATTCTGGATACAAGTCTCTTTATTGGATATTGTCAGTTCTTGGTATTCCTGGTAGTTATGTTCTATTAAGTCATACAAACACTGAACCATTCATTGCTCCTGGAAAAGTATGTACATACATGCATATATTTTACATAGATTATAATCTTAAATCCTAAAAACAACTCTACCAATAGCTTCCATTTTATTTATTTTACAAAAGAGAATAGGAGAGTCAGAGAAATGTAAAGTAACTTGCCTGAGGCTGCCTCACTAGTCCTCCCAATGTTGGAGTTTATACCCAATCAAATGGCTCAGGAGCAGAGCTTCTTGAACTAAACTGCACTGCCCCCTACTGTCTTCACCCTCTGATGATCTAAGAGCTGAGAAAAGAAGTCAAAGCCATGGCCTTGCTTGACCTTGCTGGTAACTTTACATCTCTCTCCCTGCTTTGCACATGTCTGCAAATGACCAGGGAAAGCCCCTGTGAATATTGAGTTGGAGGTTATAAATACATTTTAGCAAGTAGTCCAATTCACAAATATGGAATCCAGTAATAATGAGGATCCACTGTATATAGTTTGCAAATATTTTCTCCTATTCTTTTTCTTAGTTGTTTTTCACTTTCTTGATGGTGTTCTTTAAAGCACAAAAGTTTTCCATTATTTTTTCTTTTGTCCCTTAGTGTCACGTCTAATGCTTTACTCTACCCAAGATCATGAACATTTACTCTTTTTGTTTTCTTCTAAGAGATTTATAGTTTTAGCTCTTACATTTAGGTATAGGATGCATTTTAAGTTAATTTTTGGGTATGGTATAAGGAAGGAGTCCAATTTTATTCTCTTCCATGGGGATATCCAGTTGTTCTACACCATTTGTTGAAAATACTATCTTGTCCCTCTTGAGTTGTTTTGGCACTCATATCACAATCAATGGACCATAATGTAAGAGTTTGTTTTTGGAACTTCAATTTAGTTCTATTGACCTATATTTTTTTCTCACATTGTTTTGATTAATATAGCTCTGTAGTAAATTTTGAAAGTGAAAAATGTGAGTCTTCCAACATTGTTCTTTATATGGCATTTGAGTACTTTCCCCAACTTTTAGGTAGGGCAATGAGATTATTGAACTGATCAGAGAACCTCGCAATATAGAAAAATACAACTTATATAATGTTTGTACCTTTAATAAAATGGAAATGGCCCAATTCCTATTATCTTTTTCCAAATGTAATTTTCTTCTCTACTGTGCTAATTCAATCAGTTTTGTTGCTGTTAAATAAGTAATATGAAATGATGATTTTAAACTATTTTCTTGAATCTTATAGTGTTTAGATCAAGGTTGTTGTTTTTTGTTTCTTTGTTTTTGCCCTGTTTAGGTAGGTGGAGAATTTTCAAACATTGTTATCCCCCAAATGAAGAAATTTGGAAGAATTGCTATATGTGGGGCCATCTCTACCTACAATAGCACTCGCCCACTTCCCCCAGGTAATGAGCTTCTGCATATGGCACAGCTGTAGAAAGACTAGACAAGGAGAAGATTCACATATATGGCATCAGATATTAATAAGTTGTTAGTGACTATCAAAATATTTAAATCGATGCTAAGCTAGAGTCCCCCCTTTATTTTTCTAATTGATGCTAAGCTAAAACTGATTGGGTGGCGCAGAAATGTGTCTGCATTTCAGGATCTCTTTCTATTCTATAGAACTGTTTGGGAAATTTTGGGTGGGCCTTGCTTCTGGCACGTCCAAAAGGACCATTCTCTGGCTTTGTGACTGTGCCAGGACTCCACGTGTGTTTCCTGTTGCTGCTGTAACAAATGACCATAAATTTGGTGGCTTAAAACAACACAAATGTATTGTCCCTTCTAGTTCTAGAGGTCAGAAGTCTAAAATGAGTCAGCAGGGCTGTGTTCCCTCTTAAGGCTCCAGAAGAGAGTCTGATTCTTTGCCTAATCTCTCTCTCTCTCTCTCTCTCTCTCTCTCTCTCTCTCTCTCTCTCTCTCTCTGATCTCTGCTTCCATCATCACTCCCCCCCTCCCCCCGACTCTGACTTTTTTCCATCCCTCTTTTCCTTACAAGGACCCTTGTGATTTTACTGGGCCCAGCTATATACTACACAAAAATCCCCCCACCTTAAGTTCCTATCTTAATCACATCTGAATGTCCCTTTTGCCCTGTAAGTAGCATCTTCACAGGTTCTGGGAATTAGGATGTGGACATCTCTGGGGGCCATTACTCTGCTGACCACAAAATTGATTGGTGGGTAGCCCTGTGGATCAGAAAAGAGTGGAGGGAATGGAAGGGGGAGCAGTGAGAGAACAGTCGGTGCTTGTTTTCACCCCGGCCACCTCCCTGGACCCTGTCGCCCAAATGTGCCCTTCTCTTCACAGGCCCGCCCCCAGAGGTGATTATCTATCAGCAGCTCCGCATGGAGGGGTTCATTGTCAGCCGCTGGAAAGGAGAAGCCAGCCAGAAGGCTCTGAACGAATTGATGAAATGGGTCTCGGAGGTAAGGGGCTCCAGAGCCACTCCCTCCAATTGTACACCAGCTCCCATTCCCCTTGGACGCTGTAGATACATCTTCAAGTACATGTCACTGCTCCCTATTTTATAGCAAAATACCCGGAAGTGTTGTCTGCAGTTCCTGTCGTTCTTTTCTTTCTTTCTTTTCTTTCTTTTTTTTTTTTTAAATATATTTTATTGATTTTGTACAGAGAGGAAGAGAGGGATAGAGAGTTAGAAACATCGATGAGAGAGAGTCATCGATCAGCTGCCTCTTGCACACCCCCTCTGGGGATATGCCTGCAGCCAAGACATATGCCCTTGACCAGAATCGAACCCGGGACCTTTTAGTCCCCAAGCCGACGCTCTATCCATTGAGCCAAACCGGTTTCGGCCGTTCTTTTCTTTCTGAAATCCACACATCAGGCTTTTGCACTGGTCACTGGGCCTCTTTTCTTCTCTGTCTGCCCTTAGTTAGCTGATCCAGGCTCCTGGTTGTTTTTTTGTTTGTTTTTATTGTTGTTAATCATCACCTGAGGATATTTTTCTATTGATTTTTAGAGAGAGTGGAAGGGAGAGAAAGAGACAGAGAGAGAAACATCGATGTGAGAGAGGCACAAGGATTGGTTGCCTTTGCCTGCACACAATGCCCTGCCTATAGCCAGGGATCGAGCCTACAATTAAGGTATATGCCCTTGACCAGAATCGACGCTCTTTCCACTGAGTTAAACCGGCTAGGGCCAGGCTCACAGTTTTACATGTAGGTAGGCTGACAGCTCTTGAATGTCTGTCTCCTGCCGGCCCCTCTCCCGAGCTCTGGACTGCTTGACAGCTAGCTGCACTTGAATGTGGGATACACACCTTCAACTTAACATGTCGAAAACGAAATATGTTTTGATCTTTCCTGCCAAACCTGCCCCCTTGATAGACCTTGCCATTTCAGTTATGGCCATTTTACCCTTCCAGTTGCTCAGTCCAAAAACCTTGAAATCGTCTTTGGCTCCTTTCTTTTTCTCATTCGGATCCATGTCTAACCTGCTGCAACATTCTGGTGGCTCGCCAGAATGCTTAGACACAGAATGTGGCCACTCCTCCCACCTCCCACCACCCTGGTCCAGGCCACCACTTGTCTGGGATGCTGTGTTAGCTTCCATCTGGTGTCCCACCTTCGTGCCCTTACAGATAATTCCCAGCACAGCAGCCAGAGCAACCTTTTAAAGCACAAATCAAGCCATGTCATTCTTATGCTCAAAACCCTGCAGAAATCCCAATTTCACTTAGAATAAAACTACAAGGCTGTCAGCCATCTGGCCCCCAATATCTCTCTAATTTCATTTCTCAGTGTTTACTCACATTGCTCACTCTATGCAGTCCCTCCCCTTGCCGCTCTACCCCTCTGTAACTGCTCAATTCTCACACCTCCTTTTCGTCTTTGCTAAAAACTGCCTTCTGAATGAACTTTTACAGTGACCCCATTTTAAATTGTAATCCCCTTCATTCTTGCGCCTCCTTTTCGTTTACCCATACAACTATCATCTTTCAATGTGACATATATTACAATTCACTTCTTTAATTATTGCCCGTCTCCCCCCATGAGAATATAACCTCTATGCAGGCAGCAGTGTTCACGCATTTTGTCTGCTGATGTATCCTTAGCACCTAGAGTGTGTGCATCAATGAAGGCATTAGCTGAATAGTACCGAATGGATGAAGGTCCTACATCAGAGCCTCCTTACAGCCCTGCCTTTAGAAAAGGAAGAAGCCAAAAAAAAAAAAAAAAAAAAAAAAAAAGAGAGAGAGAGAGAGAGAGAGAGAGGAGGAAGAAGCCAGCCAATCCCTTTGTCCTGTGCTGGGATCATTTTCCCGCCATGTAGAATGTTAGTCAATAGAGATCTGAATAAACAAGGTGCATTATTTTACTATTTAGAGGAGGAAATTGCTATCACACTTCCTAATTCCTGGCTTTATGATCATTTCCCAATTTGAAGAAATAAATTGCTTCTCTGCTAACCATTGGAGGTTGGCATTTTTCCCAGCTAACACTTGTAGTGCTGGGCTGGGCTCATTCCAGGAAGCTGGGAAGAGCAAAATTATTTTTAAGTTCCCTGTGTGCAGCCGCTTTATCCCTGTTGGTGAAATTGAATCTAGCTGCTACCTCAGTCACAGCTGACAGCCAAGAAACCACTGTGCTGGTGGCCCTAATGCGTCCCTCTAACAGGGTGAACCTAATTATAGCTTTAAGTGACTAGTGAATTAGCCAAACTTCTCATCTTATTTTTTTTCTCATCTCTCCCCTTTTTCAAATATATTTTTTATTTTAGAATAATTTTAAATTTACAGAAAAATCAGAGTTCCCATATAACTTATATCCTATGTCCAAAGTTTCCACATTATTAACATTTAATATTAGTATTCATCTTCTACTTTTAACCTTTAAAACGGATTATAGATTTCAACTCTTCCCAGGTTCTTTGCCTCGTCAAGTGCAGGAATGAGCTTGGACTTTCTAGTCGAGGGTGCAATTGCCAGTTTTCCTACTTAATAGTTGAGGGACCTCAAGCCAATGGTCCCTCCATAAGTCCTTAAAGGGTGCTAAACTATCACTGGAATACATTAGGGTAAAATGGTATCAGTAACTCAGGACTCTACATAAGACCCCTTAAAAAAAGGGAATTAGTCCCACTCAGTAGCCTTGTAGGAGGAAGAGAATGACAATCCTTCCTCACTAAATGAATGCTAAGCACACATTAACAGAATCTTGGCTGGAAGAGAAGACAGATCATCATGGCACTTACATTTCCTGAACAGGCTCTGCCTCCTCAGGGTTCAGAGAGAAGCAGTGAGGCTATGTCCTGAGAAGGATGAGCACAGATCACACCCTACAGGGTCCGCCCTTCTCCAGATACTTTCACCTCTTCTGAGATCATTACATTATAAAACTTTTCATGTAAGTTAGAGATTGCTTAATCACTTCCTTGTGTCATTTCTCCTATCGCTGGGCTGTGATCTGCTGCCTATTATGAAATTCCTATGTGTACTTTGTAATCTGTCACATACGCTGTGTATGTGGATCATGCCCCAAGGTGATGCCAGTTCACAGAGCAGAGGGAGCTCCAGCTATAGTTCCAAGTGTCCTGCGATGTGCCTGATAAATTTATTGTTGCAATGAGAAGAGTATATCACTTAGAATATGACATTAACCTATTATATTTGTTGTTGTTTTGATACAGGGTAAAATCCAGTACGAGGAATACGTCACTGAAGGATTTGAGAACATGCCAGCTGCATTTATGGGAATGCTCAAAGGAGACAATTTGGGGAAAACAATAGTGAAAGCATGAAAAGATGACACATAGAACCTAGGAACCATTTGGATGATTACTTAATTTCTTTTTAACCATTTAGTAAAAATGTATGTTGCCTTCATTATCTAAAAAATGGTGGTTGTGATGAGTTTGATCTACCTAATAAAGTACATGTAAATAGTATGGGATTAGCAGCAGAGAATGAACATTTCATAGTGAACAACAGCCAGTCACTGCACATCATATAAAGCTCCAGTTCTTGCTTTCCCTGCTTCTGGGACCTTGGAGGTGGTATGTTCCAGATGGCCTAGCTACAAATGTTGGAAAGCAATAAATGCTGGAAGGCTGCCATGGAAATAAGCTTTTATTGAATTAAATTACTTTGATTTTGGGGATCTCTGTGGCTAGCATTGCTTACCCGAACTCTGTACTGTCCAATATGGTAGCCATTTAAGGCTACTGAGAACTGGAAATATGGATAGTACGACTTTTCAAGATTTTAAAAAACAACAAACAACAAAGCACAGTTGATATTTCTCCATTAAACACAACTTTATTGTTTTGGTAGAACTACAATTCACTGTAACTGTGTAGCATAGGACATTATTGTTGTATTGTAATATTTGTACAGGAAATGTGCATTATTTCTAGCATTACAGGTAAACACTTCATCAATGTACTCAGTATCAACAGACAGATTCAGTTCAGATAGCTGTTTTCTATGCACTGAAGTAACATCACAACGTCTTTACTTGTGTATTTTACGTACACAGCACAAGTTCAAGTACACCTATGCAGAAAGCACAAGTTTTACCAAATCTGATGTAAAGCATAATCATAATCATAGACACTTACTACTTTAATAATAATTAAATTGTTTTCTAGCTTAAAAACACAGAAAAATACTGAATTTTTAAATGAAGGCATATTACTGAGGCAGAATTCAGTGCAATACAGAAGCTAGTACTACGACTAGTACAGTAAAAAGAGTGGAAGAGGGCATAATGCACATTGAATGAAGAAAGGCAATTGCAATTTACTGAAGGCATATGAAATGGAAAAGCTATTTGTTGTATATCAACGTGTTAAAGATACCACACTAGACAATATTTAAGACAATACCTAATATTAGTCACTTTTCAGCAACAATCTAGTGAATTCGGTAAGTACTCTCCTAAGTCAAAAAATAATCCAAGAAATTAGTCATATGAGATGAGAACTAAATTTCCAACAAAATATTACACAACTTTTGAAGAGGATTTGAGTTTGTAAATTTAGCCAGCTATGAAATAGTATGAGTTCCCACACACAAACAAAAAGAATCTTAGATGGAGAGATGATAAAAAGAAATTATTTTAGTAGGTTGATTTAGTCAGAAATTTGAGGAAGAGACTTAAAAAAATATTTACAAATACTGAAAATTCCAATCCTTTAAGTAATTTTACTCATAGAATACAAGAAGTTTCTGATGATATCAAAGACCAATGGATTCAAAACTTGAAAAATTGCAAGAATTTATCTTCAGCTTTAAGTGAGTTGTGTAGCATAAGACACAGCCCCATGAAAACTTTGGGTATATTCTGTCTCAAATAACATCCAAATTTACAAAGAAATGTCAATTTACTATCTAAAAATTCACTCAGAACAGAAATTTTTGACAATTTTCCATCTGTCAAAGAATTTTAGCTAGAGATAGAAAAATTTGTTTCTATTATAAGAGGAACTCTAGCTATATAAAGTCAAAAGACCAGCTATACTGGCTTTTTAAAACAAGAGAATGGTATTTACCTCTTTGCAATTTCACTGTTTCATACTAAATATATTTATGCTCAATTTTTTGAAGCAGACTCCAAAAAAGAAGTCATGCTGCTAAGATTCTTCAATATATTGGTGGAAATACAAGAAGTATACAATAATAATTGCCGGTTTATGGAACTGTACTGAAACTATGGAACTCTGAAAAGAAAACATGTGTGTGGGGGGGAGATTTCATGACATTGGATTTGAGAATGATTTGTTGAACATGACACCAAAAGCACAGGAAAAAATAAGCAAAAATAGGCAAATGGGACTACATCCAAACTTAAAACCTTCCGTGAAACAAACGAAATAGTGCCAAGAATATGGAAAATATTCCAATGGAACCAATGGAATGGGAGAAGACACTCAAAAATCATAAATAAGGGGATAATATCTAGAATAAATAAAAAAACAGCTAAAATTCAAAAATAAAAACTTGATTAAATAATGGGCAAATGATTTAGACAATTCCCTTAAGATATACAAATAGTTAAGCATATGAAAAGATTTTCAACATCACTAATCATCAGGGAAGTGCAAAAACAAAACCACATCTGTTAGAATGGCTACTATAAAAAATATAGAAAATAATATGGTTGCTAGGATGTGAAGAAACCCTTATGCACTGTTAGTAAGAATGTAAAATGGTGCAGCTGCTATGGAAGGTTCCTCAAAAATTTTAAAATTGAATTACCAAATGACTCAGCAATCCCCCTTCTGGGAATGTATCCAAAAGACTAATAATAGATCTTTAAGAGATATTTGCAAACCCATATTCAAAGCAGCGTTATTTATAACAGCCAAGAGGTAGATGCAACCTAAATGTGTACTGATGGATGAATGCATTAAAAAATGTGGTGTAGCCCTAGTCAGTTTAGCTCAGTGGATAGAGTGTCAACCTATGGACTAAAGGGTCCCAGGTACAGGTTTCAGACTCAATCCCTGATGGGGGGCATGCAGGAGGCAGCCAATCAATGATTCTCATCATTAATGTTTCTATCTCCCTCTCCCTTCTCTGAAATAAAAAAACAACAACATATTTTTAAAAGTGATTTAAACACACAATGGAATATTACTTAGCCTTAAAAAAGGAAATCCTATCATACACTACAAGGATGAAACTTGAGGACATCCAGCCAATTCCACTTGAAGCACTGAAAGCAGGGATTCAAATAGGTATTTATACACCACTGTTCATATCAGTGTTATTCACAATAGCCAAAATAGTGGAAATAACGAAATCTACCAACGAAGGATGAACAAAAAGCAATGTATGCATACAATGAAATCTTATTCAGCCTTAAAAATGAAATTCTGACACATACTAATGAACCTTAAAAACACATGTGAAGTGCAACAAGACAGGCACAAAATAACAAATACTGATGAACCTATTTATATGAAGTACACAGAATAGCCAAATTCATAAGACACAGAAAGTACAATAGTGGTTACCAGGGGCTTGGGAGAGGAAACAGTAGGGAGTTATTGGTAAATGAGTGGAGTTTCAGTTTGGGATGATGGAAAACTATTGGAGATGAATACGACAACTGCACAACAATGTGAATGTATTTAATGGCACTAAATAGTACACCCAGAAAGGATTTAAAAGATCATTTTCAAATTATGTATTTTGACCACATTGAAAACAATTCTAAAATAAGTAACAGAAAGAAAACTCATTGACAGGAGAAGCCTTGTCTTGTGGTTTGACTTTAAAGAAATTTCTTCAATAGAAATCTTTTTTTAAAGCAAGGTCATCATTTTAAAGTAAACATCCTGAACAAGCCTCTTCTCAAGAACTTTACACATTTAATTCTTTCTGTAAGTTACTTTTTCTTCTTTTCAGAAAAACAAGATGGGGTTTAGATAAACAAACTGAGTTTAATATCTCCTAAAAGGAAAACTTACAAGGATTTATATCTTTCCAGAGAAAAAGGGTTTTTATCTTAAAAAAAAAAAAATAACCTTAAACCAGGTAAATGATTCTCATAAGCCATAGCCTTTTAGGGCTGTCTCTGGTTGTTCTCTTTAGCAATAACTAAGCAAACCAATTTATGCACTAACATCTGTATTCTTAATTCCTTTGAGGTCTAATTTCACAACAGAAAACTTAAGTGAAAATGTGTTATAATTTCTACATTCCTTTCCTAAATTTTATTTATTATCAATGGAGTCTCTTTAGATTATAGAATATGTATTCTCCAGATGGTAGGAGATCAGAATATCAAATTCCTACTGTGGGAAGTCAGGTTGCATGACTGAGAGAACATGGCAAGTAGAAGAGTAGATTCCCTATGTAAAGGTAGAAGCGGCTGCCCCAAACAACCTGTCTTATAAAATAAGGCCTTAGAGTTGTCATCCCTTACATTCTTCAAGACTAGCCTTTTTTTAAGTATGAAGTTCCCTATTTTAAATGATGACAACTAATTACGCACACACACACACACACACACACACACACACACACACACACCATGCAGACCAACTATGACATGTCAAGGGCCCAACTTTAGCTTGTGACCTTTGTCATACAGAATATTTATATTCTACTGACAGGAAGCTGTACTTAGTACAGGCAAAAATTAAAAAAATAAAACTTTATTTTGCAAAAGGCAACCCATTCAGATAGCTGTTTCCAGCACCTGTTTCCTCTCACCCTCAACACTCTCAATCTATTGTCCTAAGACTATGTCTCTCATGTCTGAGATGGCTCAGGTGCATGTCCCTAAAACACCAATCCTCTCAGACAATGCTCAAAGGAAAAACAAGTTAGGTGTTTTGTTCAATTAAAACATTCCCTGAAGGCAAACTTGTTTAGCTTCACTGACTTGTTCCTGTTTACAGCATTCTAGCATCAAGTATTCAAGGCATCCTGTATTCAAAAAGGATACTATTTTCGCACTGCCAGAAGTATAGTATCCTAAATCATTATCTACAACAGAAACTTGAAAATTGCAATGAATCAAAAATATTCAACTTATGCCCTAGCTGGTCAGCCCAGTGGATAGAGTGTTGGTCTGCGGACCAAAGGGTTCTGGATTCGATTCCCATCAAGGACATATATGTAGGTTGCAGGCTCCTCCACGGCCTAAGCCCTAGTCAGGGCACATGCAGGAGGCAACCAGTCGATGAGTTTCTGTCACACCAATGTTTCTCTCTGTTTTTCCATCTCTTTTCCAATCTCCATAAAAATCAATGGAAAAAATATCCTCGGGTGAGAATTAACAAAATAAATAAATAAATACATAAATAAATTTAACTTATTTCTACAGCTTCAGAAAACATGAGGTACAAAAAACAGCAACCCCAACTTAGAAGTTATTAGTCCCAACTCTTAATTCTATCAGTTCAAAAACTGAAATTCAGAAAGGTTAGAAAGTAGATTGGTTGGAAACTGGGACTGAACTTAGGTTATCTGACTCCAACCAAGTTTTCTATTACATTACATGGGAGTGTCAGGGGAAAGGAGAAAGGGAAATCTTCTAAAATGGTTAAAAAGGTAGGTTCTGGGCATCCCTTCCCCTGCTTTTTAAATTCATATTTGGCCTTTTACAATAATTTCACATCTCACACTATTTTCACTTTTCCAGCCTTTAACTACTATCTCCCAAAAGTTGACATTCTTACAAAGAAGGTCAAATGGGGGAAAGTCTATTTTTCATAGCTGCCAGCCGATCAAAATTGCAGCTATTAATCAATGTGGTGGCAACTTATATCCAGGTTTCTAATAAGGAACAATTTTTATTAACTTTCCTCCCACCTTGATATAGTTCAAGAATTACTCTCCAGAGTGAAATCCCCGATGTCTAATGAGGCCTGAATTACTTTTGAATGTTTTCTTACATTTCTTACATTCATATTCTTTCCTTCCAGTATGAATTTTTAGATGCTCTACAAGGATTGAGCTTCTACTAAAGGTTGCTCCACAGTAGTCACATTCGTAGGGTTTCTCTCCAGTATGAGTTCGATAATGTTCATTAAGAGATGAGCTCTGACTGAAGGTTTTTCCACATTCTTTACATTTATAAGGTTTCACACCAGTATGGATTCTCTGATGACGACTAAGGAGAGAATGGGTAGGGAAGGCTTTCTCACACTCACTACATTTGTAGGGTTTTTCTCCTGAATGAAGCCGCTGATGATAAATTACAGATGTAAAATGGCTGAAAGTCATTCCACAATCA